AGGCCGCCGCTGCCGCCGCCGCCGCCGCCGCCGCGCGAACATGGCGGCCGAGATCCACTCCAGGCCGCAGAGCAGCCGTCCGGTGCTGCTGAGCAAGATCGAGGGGCACCAGGACGCCGTCACGGCCTCGCTGCTCATCCCCAAGGAGGACGGCGTCATCACGGCCAGCGAGGACAGGTAGGGCTGGCGGGTGGTGCGCCGGCCGAGGCGCGACGGGGGTGGCCCGTACTCCCGCAGGCGACGGGGTGTGGGGGCGGTGGGGTCGGCGGCCTCGTCCCTCTCCGCGGGGGGGCGTCCTCGGCCCCCCGGGCATCTCGCCGCGCCCTTCCAGCCCGGGACCTTCACCCTCTAGCTCGGGACCCTGGTCCCACCGCGCTCCCCCGGACCGCCGCGCGGTCCTACTGCGTCCTTCCAGCCGGGGACCCCCGTCCCAGTGCGCCCCTTCAGTCAGGAACCCCCACCGCGCCACCCTAGCCCGGGATCCTACCCCCTTCCAGCCCGGGACCCCGGACCCGCCCCACCAGCTGGGGGACCCCCGTCCCCTTGAGCCCCTCCAGTCAGTGACCCCCACCGCGCCTGTCTAGCTCGGGATCCTGGCCCCTTCCAGCCTGGCAACCCCAGTCCCACCGCGCCCCTTCCAGCCCGGGACCCCCGTCCCTGCTCTCCTTTGTGGGGTTTTGCTTGCTCCTCGAAAGCGTCGCGACCTCTGTGGGGTGGGGGTGGGGGTGGGGGTGCTTGGCCCTCCGCGGTCAGTTCCAAGCCTTGGAGCCAGGAGCACTGCGCGAGTCCTGGTGCCAGGGATTCCCGGCTCTCAACAGACCTCCGGGGGCTTTCTCTCTCTTACTTCTGCTTTACTCTGGGGTTGACAACTCTTTTCGCACAACACCGGCTGCCTAGATCGGTTATTTTTTTACAGCTGCTAGAACCATCTGAACTTTTATTTACTACATAGTTGTTGTTTTGCTTTGTTTTTTCGTAAAAGAGACTTATTTTTGAAAAGGTTAGGTTATTTTATTTCAAAGAAAACATTATCTTCCACCGTTAACGGAAAACCAGTATCACTTGCCATAAAGAATTAAACTCATCGCTAAAGCATGTCTCTATGCACCTAAAGTCGTCTCTTTGCAGCTCATTGGTCTGCCCAAGGCTGTGTGATTGGAAGAGATATTATTTGTTTTAAAACTTTAGTGTTTTTAAAACCCTAAACGTTTAAAAGGTTTGTGGCTTTACCGTGGGAATTTGGAGGAAATGACTGATGTTTGCTGAGTGAAATTGTGTTTCCTTGCTACAGTGAGTGATCTTAAATGGTGATATTCCAAAAGTCATAAAGGCCTCTGGAAGGTGGAAGGTACTTGCTGTCCCCTTTCAGCTGACAGTGCAGTCCAGCCTTTTGTAGTCATAGCTTTCGAAGTACCATTGACGGCCTGTCCTCAGTGGGAACAGAAAACCTGAAGTCCCCATATATTTTGCTTTTGCGTCTGTTTATTGTGAGCAGGCAATAGTCTCTCCAGTTCATTTGCATGTAGCTGACCTCATAGGAGGTGGGGAGCGACTGGAAGGACCTGGGTGTTGGTGTGCAGAAGCAGTAAGGGAAAGGGAGAAGGGGGTGCATGAGCCACAGGGAGAAGAAGGGAATGTGGAAAAGAAAAGGCAAAGGACACAGTAATGATATTTGCATGATATGAACTTAGATGCAGACAACATTTTATAAAACTTAGCTATTTTATTTGGTAAAATATCCGTGACTCATGCATGTTGCGTAAATTGCTGAATATTTGAGATTACTGGCCAGGAGCAGTGCTGATAAATGTTTTATGGAAAGTGATTACTTAGCTGCTCTGGGACTGAAATGTTCTGGGGGAGCCTTAGATCAGCTCACTTTTTCACTGGGGCACAGCAGGGCCCTTACTGATGACCGGACTAGGTGAGGGTTGGAGCCTTATGTTTCTAATTTGTGTTTCAGGCCCTTGGAGCTTCCTTGAAGGTAGGACGTTTTTGAGCAGGTGCCTTACTTTATGGGATTTATGAAAGCATGTGGCTATGGGTTTTTGTTGTTGTTGGATGTGGTGGTGCATCTTTACATTGTCATAGATACGTGTCATACTCTTTGATCATTCACTCATTCATACATTCATGTATTCATTCGTTTATAGATTTGGAATACTGTACCTATTGATTGCCAGGCTCAGGGAATACAACACGGATCAAAAGTCACAGCACCTGCCCTCCTGATTTCTGATTCATTGATTTTTATGGCCCTTGACCTGATAGAACCAGCATATTAAGGAAACAGAATACTGACCGCCCTTATTCATCAAACAAGCATTTATTAGACACTGTGGGCTGGACCTGTGGGGTAGAAAGACAGTGACGCCAAAATCTGTTTCCAAAGGGCTGGACAGACTGGTGAAGAGATGGCCCTGTGCCCTCAGCTTCCAGGGTGTTGGGGAGACACAGAGGAAAGTGTGTCCTTGAGGGCCAGGGTTCAAGGAAAGCCTCAGGAGATGTCACTGGATAGAGTAGTGGGCTGTGTGAAGGAAGGAGGGTGCACAGCCCTGCGCCAGGCAGATGGAAGGAACAGGAGGCAATAGAGGACCACAGTTATTTCTAGGTGACCAGAGCAAAGGGTATATGAGTGGCCATGGCAGGAAAGAGTCCTGAGAGCTGGAGGGCCTAGTGTCCGGTTCTGGAAGGGCCTTATTTGTGCACCACTCTTAGAAATTGGACTTTAGTTTGCAGGTAGTGAGGAACCATCAAAGATTTCAAAGCCAGTGACATGATCAGAATTCATACTTTGGAAATAACAACAGCTAACCTTCTAAAAGTCCCTTCTCTCTATCCATAGAGAATTGGACCTATGTACGGGCTGCATCCAGTCCTCACATCCCCCCATGAGGTGGGGGGGTACAGTCACTTCCCTTATCAGTAGCTCCAAAATTAAATGTATTCTAAAAGTCAAAGGTGGGTTGGTTAGTTTGTTCGCTTGTAAACTGGGCCTGAAAACTCTTTGGTGCTAAAACTTGCCCTGAAGAGACAAGACTGTAATCTTTATTTATCCCGTGCAGCGTGAGTGCTCCTGCATTTTCCTGCAGAAGCAGCGGTGCGTGTAAGTGCAGGTGCTGTCCCCGGGCCCCGCTGTGGGTGTTTGGAACAGACGGTGGGTGTATGCATCCTACTGCAGTGGGCCTTTGAGGGTTTACGAAACGGAGGCACAAAGGATACTGAGTCACGCCCCAAGGGCTCATAGCTAGTAAGTGATTGGATTAAGATTTGAACCCAGGGCTGATTCGGAGGCTCTAGTTCTTTCTGCCACGCATCCAGGTTTGCTGCACATTTGGAGAAACCAAATGCAGGCAGTATCCGTCAACGATGGACTGTTCTGGCAGCAAGTGTAAAATGCTAGGATTCTGCCTTTTGCTATTATTTAGTTATCCTTCCTTTTAGTTTTCAGGGTTTTGTTTTGTTTTGTTTTTTAAAACAAAGCTTGTACGTTTTTTATATAACTTCTGCTTTAATGCTCAGAACAGTAACTTTTAACATTTAAAGTAGGCTCCAGCTGAAGTTAATTCATTTTATGAACGCTAAAAGCAGCAAGAACTGGCTTGAGAGCATTTTGAGAGGAAAGTGAAAGATGAGAGGGTCACCTGAAGTTAGTGTCCATTTTTCTAAACTAGGCCAGTGATTCTCAAGGAGGGGTGACTTTGGCCCATAGTGCAATTTGGCAGTATCTGGTGACATTTTGGTTGTCACAACTAAAGGAGGGTATTGCTGGCATCTCATGGGTAGAGGCCAGAGATGCTGCTCAGCATCCTATAATGCACAGGACGCTAAGTACCTCACAAAAAGAATTACCAGCTCCAGATATCAGTAGCACCATGGTCGAGACACCCTGGTTTAGGCTACATGTACTTATTTATCTGGTCTCTCTAGACAGTGGTTCTCAAACTTGAGCATGTGTCAGATCCTGATTCAGTGAGGCTGGGGTGGGGCCTGAGAGTTTGCATTTCTTCCAGGTTCCCAGAGATGTTGATGCTGATGCTGTTGGTCCAGGAACCCCACTTTGAGAACCACTTTCTACAAGAGTTACTTGTCATGGTGCTTGCCTGTGTAGGCCCACTGGGAACGAACACTTTGTCTTCTTTTCCGTCAGTTTCCGGGATATATTTGCCTGGAGTTATTTACATGTTCTCATCGATTTCCCAAACCGTGTAGGACAAATCTAAATACACATAATCCCCTCAAAGAATATTAAACCCATGTGGAATACCGAGCCTAATACCGTCGTACCTGGAGTCACTGGGAATGGTTTGGGTTGTGAGCTTAGGGGTCTGATCTGAAATCGTCGGAGTTCCTGTGCCACAAAGGGTTAACAGAAAATGGCAACTACTCTCTTGTGTGCATTCATGTAGATTTTGTTAGAGTCATAATTACCCCAAACTCTTTTGTTACACTAGACCTGAATTTGTGTTTTTAACTTTAGTTTCCAGTTGCCTGAACTTGGGAACTGGCATTTTTCAGCATGCCAAAAATGCTACTTTTGTAAAGCTTAAAAAAAAAAAAAATTCTTGAATCAGTAAAGTCAGACTGTCTCTCTAGTCAGGAAACTGTAAAAATAAAAGTACTAACCTGAGTGGTAAGAACTACAGCAATCATTTTCCTGATAGTGGGAACAGAAAAATGACTCAGCTTTCCAAACAGAACTGAACTGTGGTGAGACCACGAGAAAACCATTCCCTGGACACGTTTGCCTTTTGAACTTTTTTTTTTTTCCCTGTGGACTGCACCAAAAATTTAATAAGAGTACGCAGAAGGATAGAATTTTTAAAAGAAAAAACTTTATGAGAAAGCCTTAGAAATCAGGCTGCAGTCCTGCCGTCTTCATTTTTGGAAAACAGTTGGAGGATGAGCGTGCTTACGCTGTTGCATCAGGGGCCTGGAGGCCACGATTGATCTCCTGAGGAACTCAGTTGCCTGGTGTAAGTCAAACAAAGGCAAATCTCGTATGTTTGGAATATTGTAGGATGTTGCACTTAGACTGGTAAACAGTACCAGAGAAATCCAACTTTTTTTTTTTTTTAAAGATTTTATTTATTTGACAGAGAGAGACACAGCGAGAGAGGGAACACAAGCAGGGGGAGTGGGAGAGGGAGAAGC